TGACTTTTTATCGGTTGTGACGACTTCGAGAGTGACTACAACTACAATACTTGTATTTCCTCGAAGTTTCACTTTCCTATAATATCAGCTAAAGAAATCAGAGTTTTAACATTTTCGGGGAAGCTAAATTCAAACAAAGATTGAGAGTCAACAACGGTACGACGAATCGTCTTCCTTTCTCTAATAATTTAATGAAACGTCAAAAATTCCGCGCTTCGCGCGAGAGGGAGAACTGAATTCAGATAAGGATTGAGAGTCGAGAACAGTACACCCAATCTTCAGCTTTCTCTAATAATTTAAGGAAACGTCAAAGCTTTCGCGCTAAGCGCGAGAGGGAGAAACTGAATTAAGATAAATAGGGCTAAATAAAAGTCGAAAACAGTGCAACGAAGCGTCTTCTTTCTATAATAATAATTAAATCAAACGTCTAAGCTTTTCGCGCTTCGCGCGGGAAGAGGGACACTAAATTCAGACATGGATTAAGAGTCGAAAACGGTACAACGAATAGTCTGCTTTCTCTGATAATTAAAGGAAACGTCGAAGCTTCCGCGCTTCGCGCTAAAGGGGGAAACCGAATACAGACGATTGGGGTTTATTAAGAGTCGAAAACGATACAACGAATCGTCTTCTTTCTCCAATAATTTAATGAAACGTCAAAACTTCCGCGCTTTGCGCGGGAGGGGGAGAACTGAATTCAGATAAGGATTTATAGTCGAGAACAGTACACCTAATCGTTTGCTTTTTCATAATTTAATGAAACGTCAAGGCTTCCACGCTTCGCGCGGGAGGGAGAGAAACTGAATTCAGACAAGGATTAAAAGTCGAGAACGGTACAACAAATCGTCTTCTTTTTATAATAATTTAATGAATCGTCTAAGCTTCCGCGCATCACCCACACGGGCAAGCGCAAATACACGGGGGCGATGGGCGATTCGCCCCCGTGAGCTCCAAAATCGCCCCCGTCAGGTTGCTCACGGGGGCGATTGCAAAATTAAAAATCGCCCCCGTGGAATTATAAAATAAAGATTATCTTTTCTGATATAACTTTAACACAATATTGAGAATCAATTTTCAAACCTTAAACCAATGAAATGGAACTAAGATGGCGGTGTGCACGCTGACGCCCAATATCTGCTGGAGCTGGAGACGATCGCGCAAGAACTGAAACATGGAAAAGTTTTTCGTTGTGAAAAGTGTGAATCCTCTTAAATCTGGTGATTCTAATATACCAGCAAATAATGTAACTCGACCAGTAAATCAATATTGAGAAGAAGAAGAAGACCACAGATGTTGCAGGAGCGGATGTATGCGTTTAAGGGGGTTTAACCCCCCCCCCCCCCCCCCCCCTCCACCCCCTTGGGCTGCCAAGTGAAAATGTGATGTGCATAGACATATGCTATCATGTGTCCAGACCTACACAGTATTAGTAGATGTCAGTAGATGCCAAGCAACAACAAAAATTGCCTCGCCGCTACGCGGCTCGTGGACGATGATCCACATGGTATTTGGGTTAACCCCCCCCCTACCCTTAGAAAAAAGCTAGATCCGCCCCTGTGTTTCGGAAGGATATGGTAAAGACTAAAAAGTAATGAAAGAATGTAAATAAGGTTGCTCCGAATAATGAGGAGGAAATTATATGTCATCACGAAGATAAAAGTCAATAACAGCTATGTCACAAGTAAATTTCTAAGAGGGAAAAAGCCGACTTAAATAAATGATAATGATAAAATACCAAGGAATGTAGGAGTTTTGCTCACTACCGCCCCTACCTAAAATAAGATCCTAGCTCCGCGCCTGCATAAGTTGACGAAATAATTCGTATATGTATGTCGTCGAGGAAAATGACCATTTGCGCATACGCAAGTACTATAGATAGTCCATAGGAAAAACAATTTAGCCTTCGGCCCCGAGTTTATAGGGTTAATTTTGTCGGTAATTGGGGGCTAGTTTTGTCGGTAATCGTTGGCCTCTACACCCCCCCCCCCCCCCCTCCCACTGAAAAAGGTCTAGCGACGCCCCTGGGTGTGTCCGCATGAGCTCAGGATTGTTGTCTGGTCGAAGATATCAAGACATAGTGGCCACTTCAGGTTCTGTGAAGAGCTTGGAGCTTTAAAAAAGAGGTGCGCCTATCTTTGATCAAAAGTATTAATTCTCTGTTTAAGTGTCTATACACATGTGGTTACAATGTTAAAATCACATTTGATTATTATCGTCTGTTCATAATATTGCAGTCTATGCATCCTATGAATAGACATGGGCTTCCACAGAGAGCGCACGAAGCATGAGCTGGCGGTAGACGTACTCATCATTATTTTGTGTCTATAGAGGGCGATTTATTTACGCTTTCGGTGGTGGATATGATTATTATGCTGGAGCTCCACTTTTAATTATATTAGTAGTATCCTGGATTTTAAAGCCAGACGTTGTATTTGCTTTCATTAATTTATTTGACAGATTAAAGAACGGTAATTATATTTGTTTTTTACCCCTCTTCCTCCACTATACTTCAGTTATTTCCTTCTATTTCTCTATTTCTCTTCCTCTTTCTCTGTCAACAATTAAAAGACTCATCCAGTGCCAATCAACAAAACTGTGTACATACAAATAAATAACGAACATTTTTTGTTATTATTATTATTATTTATTTGATTTCCAGGTACATGTATAAACAAAATAGAAATTACAACACAGAGCATATAAGATTAAGAGTTACAAGACAGTGACAATGCCACCAGCGGACGCCTGAGGATTACCTAAAAGAATTTCCATTCTGTCATGAGGTTCTCCACGTCCACTGGTGTTACATATCAATAGATTTAAGAAGTAACGGTAAAATAACATAACATAATTCAAGTTTATCCATCAAGCATAATAACTAATAGAATGATTGCATGTATGTAGAACTTTGTGGCATGAAGAAAATAACAATCATGTACGGCATGTAACGGTAAAATAACATAACATAATTCAAGTTCTTCCATTAAGCATAATAACTTAAAGAATGATTGCATATATGTTGAACTTTGTGGCATGAAGAAAATAACAATCATGTACGGCATGTAACGGTAAAATAACATAACATAATTCAAGTTCATCCATTAAGCATAATAACTTATAGAATGACTGTATGTATGTTGAACTTTGTGGCATGAAGAAAATAACAATCATGTATGGCATGTAACGGTAAAATAACATAACATAATTCAAGTTCATCCATTAAGCATAATAACTCATAGAATGATTGCATGTATGTTGAACTTTGTGGCATGAAGAAAATAACAATCATGTACGGCATGTAACGGTAAAATAACATAAAATAATTCAAGTTCATCCATTAAACATAATAACTTATAGAATGATTGCATGTATGTTTGTATGTAATTATAGGCTCGGTTTATAGCGTATACATACTTTTTATAACTATTTTCTAATTATAAAACAAAGAAACCAAAGAGGAAGATACAAAATACGAGCTTTAAGACATTAAAGATGTTAAGGTACTTTACAAAATTGTGTACAAAAACATTATAAAGACAATATAACAACGCATATAATATACAAATTATCATAATTTATGATAAATATAATCCTATCTTACCCCATTCTCTCTCTACCGTTATAAATGCAGACGAATATATTCCAATTCCACGTCACAAACTGATCGTCTGTACAGATTTAATTTAATTGAATCGAATTTAACTATAGACTCAATCAAGTTGAATTGAAGGGGTAAGTATTATGAAAAAGATCGACAACTGCCGAATTTACATGAAATATGTTCAAAATGAAATGACTTCTTATAACAGAACTGCAGTACACGTTTACATAATGTATCATACTATAAATTACTTAGGACGTTTAGTCAAGAAACAGAACTTCAGACTATTAAACGAGGCATAATTGTTGATAAAATATTGTTCTTCTCTACATCAAAACAAACTAATCGTTTACATTATCAGTTCCAGAGCATTACATTTAATAGCTTTTCAGACAGAGTGCAAAATGAAAACGAAGGGATTTTTCATAGAATATAGCACAATGTCTAGTAAGATTTTGTTAATGTTTTGATTGATTTTATGTATCAGACAAGTTCAATGTAACATAAACACGGAGAGGAAATTGATATCATAAAATGAAAACAAAAAATTACTACCTATAACTTGACAGGATGACCTGTAAAAGCTGAAAAGCTTCTTTACAAGGGGGTCCCATTTACAAAGTTAGCATTAATTCTTTCTTCATTTAAAGATACAAAATAATCACAATATAAATACAAAAATAGAAGCACTAACAAAATGTTCTTTGTAATACTTTAAGAACAACAACGTAAGGAGAATAACACTGACGAATTAAGAAGTTAATCAATATGCTTAACCATTTTGAATGTATACATTAGGATATCATATCACTGACTTTCAATAAATATCTAAGATATACGATTTCACAATGCAAGAAATAGATGTATATTTTACGTACTGCATTTACATATTATTTCGAGAAAGGAAGCTTATTAATATGAATAGAGGATAATGACAACTGTATTCAGGCAATTAAAATCCATCTGGAGAATGGGCATCTTCTCAGTTGGTTATACACATAATAAACAACAGAACATGAAATATATATAGGCCCATATGAGAGTAGATCTGGTGGAGATAGTAAGGGTGAACAGAATGTGAAATACAGATAATTAGAGTGATACTTTGATAAAATACAACTTCTCGTCACGAGCGAACGCGAGCATGTCTGGAGAGAGGGAAACCAAATAACACCACTTATCTCCAAGCGTCAGGTTAAGTACATTGAACTCAACTCTTTCCTTCAGGTTCAGACCATCAAGGTCATAGAGCCTGATCACCACGTTACCATTCACAAGATCAACGCTCGCTACATACACCCTGTCCTGCTCATCTACGGCAGCATACAGGTAGACACCGCTTGGAGCTTGTAGAGACGTACCAGCATTCCCATCCCTGTCATATACCGTCACCATGCACGCTTGGATTGGTGTAATAACATGAACTCGTGACGATCAAACCCGACCTGGTAGCAGATACCTGGCTCGTATCGTTGTGTTTTGTTGGAACAGTGTGTTTGAGAGTGGATCCAGTCGGGTCATAGATGTAGACTTTCTTCTCTCTGTTACTGATGAGGATTTCATCTGAGGGACTCCTGTTAGTCTGGAAGAATAGCCATTGCCTTTCACGTGGATGGTTGATTTCCTGGATCCGTTGGGAGAATATATGTGTGCTTCACTGCTTTGAAACGTCGATATGCATAACGACCTGTCCTGTAGAAACACAATATCAAAACACTCCACGTTACTTGGTATGTTTGCATACTGCTCCTGTTTACCAATTGAATCAATGATATCTATACCATCGTCATTCAAATATCCGATCGCCACACGACCATCAGAGTACTGGGTCATACCGCGCATCTCTCCCCTTAGATCTACACACTGAATGACTTGAACCTTAGGATCTGATTCTAAGATGCTCCCGAGGTCAAGACGACTTTTATCTGCAGGCTTGAACCTCTTCTCTTGTGCTTTCTTTGTAATGGCTGCCGCAGAAGTGTGATCAGTAGCCTCCTTCAGCATGGCATCCAGCTCATCACATAGCAAGATATGAGCAGACAGACTGTCTGTCTCAAGACGACCCAGTCTGTCATTAGCTACCAGTGTTATTGAACTACAAATACTCTTGATCCTCTGTCGATCCTTGGATTTTAAGACGTTGAGGTCGTCCTCGAAACTCTGCTTTACTGAATTGAGTTGCTCGATGAGATTTTGATGATTTTCTTCAAGCTCTTTAGCCTTGATGCTGTAGGCTTCACTGACATCGTCCAGTAGTTTCTGCACGGCAGAGTACACTTCATGGCGTTGTACTTTCACATTCTGAATGTTCTTCTCCAGTTCTGTCTTCTTAGCGGCACATCGCTGGACAAGGTCGTTCACCTAAACAACACAAATAATAGATGAGTGAAAAGAACATTCTGTAGAATGAGATGTATACCATTTACGTGGAGCTGGTTTGAAAATCAAGCACCAGATTTAGGACGCGCCTTATTTTTCATAAAAAGTTAGATCCAAGACCTATCTCTTAAATTACCATATGTCATATGAGGACCGAGGAATGAAATACTTTGTTTTTCGGATTTAACAAAAAAAGGGAATAAGACCCTTGCAATAAGTTCATTTGTATAAAAGCAGTAATATCAGATAAACATAATGGATATAGGCCAAATAGTAATAGAATAATAATATTAATAATAGTATTATGATAGTTATTATTATAATTATAATATTAATGATATAAATAACAATTATAATGAAAGAATATGATAATAAGAAGAAGAAGAATGATACTACTACATCTATTACCAATTATGGGAATGTTGGTGTATTTGAAGTACGAAGTTTTCTGGAAAATCTGGGGACGTGCCCCTTTCACCCATTAAATGGTAACCCCCCCCCCCCCTCTTAAACTTTGTTATGTGTGTATTTTGGAGGAACCCCCCCCCCTTCAAATGTGCTCTTACCCCTCCCCCCCCCCCCCCCCCCGCTTATTCAGCGGCTGGCTGAGTCGTTGCGAAAATTTCGGCCCGATTTAAAAATGTTAAACCCCCCCCCCCCCTTGAAAAAATCCTGCGTACGCCACTGGCTTCATGTCATCTGAAAGGGGTGGCAAGATTGTTGTCTCACCCCCTTTACTAGAGAGAAGTTTTGAACTTCACATCCTACCCGTTTCAAGCGCATTTGCAGTAGACAGGGTTTGTCCAATGATAAGAAACATTCCAACTATAAAAATGCGAGAAAGTCTAGCGACCTAGAGGAACAAAAAAGCGTTCTGGATATTTGAAACCGTATTTCAGAGTGCCTACATGTAAAAGCTTTTCAAGTCTGCTATAATATCAAATACAATCGTGCTATTATCTTGCGAGCCGGGCGGGGCCTTTGCCTTTTCCCCATTGATCTGTTTTCCGTACAGGGGGTGTTTCATAAAGACTAAGATCGACTTTAAGTTGGACTTAACTATGGCAGGCCGTTCATGCCACTGTTTGCTCTCCCCATTGGTCTTTCAATTATGATCTTTATATATTTTTTCCTTCAATAATGAACTATCAAAAAAGGTAAATTCTGTAGATTTGCAACAACGATTTGTACGTCCCCTGAGAAACCAATGCCAGGAATGGTTAGAGGAACTTGTGGCATGAACGGCCTGCCATAGTTAAGTCCTACTTAAAGTTGATCTTAGTCTTTGTGAAACACTCCCCAGATCAGAAAGGGTACATCTATTGTGAGAGGGAGGGGGCAGAAATGATTTGGCTCCACCCCCGATAGAGGGAATGATATGCCCCTAGCTTTTGCTGACTCTTGGAGACAGGATTTCTGCAGTATAAACATAGGATTGCACTTCTTTCTATATTTTGTAGAGCAGGGTAGTGACCAGTAACTGGGGAAATCTAGGTTTTGGAATGTTTAATTCTGCATTTTAGAGGACTAATCTGTTGATAGACCTTTGCTGCAAAATATTTGTTGTCAATGGGGAGGGAGTAGATCTACTTTTGCCCCAACCCTTTGATTGATAGAAGTATCTACTCCCATGCTTGCAGTGCCTATATTATATAAGGGGGCTTATGAACATAATAAACATCGGGTCTATTAATATTCGAGGGAGCGTAATGGCCGTGTGGGGAAATGTTGATTTTAGGAAGCTCATCACATTGCAAAGGATTTACATTTAAATTTCCTGTTTTTACCTTGCGAAACCACCCCCCCCCCCCCCCCCCCCCCCCCCCCTCCACTTGAACTATTCCATCAGCACCGTCTATCCCCACCTCCTCCCCGCTTCCGGCGCCTAAGGTTCCAATGAAAACACGTTTACCTTAAGCCGTAACTGCTGCTCGAAGTCAGCCTGATTCTTGATTTTGTGAAATTGATGACCGACGATCACACACTTGAGACAGACGTGGACCTTACAATCCTCACAAAACATATCTTTGTCCTCTTGTTTGTGGATGTAGCACTTCTCGGATAGATGACCAATGCTGACCTTCCCGTTGATGATATCCTGTACGGATACAATCTCATGGGCCTCAAACATCATAGACATATTCTGGTGACCCGTCAGACACTTCTCACACAAGTAGCTGTTGCAGGTTTTGCAGAATGACACAGCCTCTTCTTGACGTTTGCAAGCAGTGCATTTGGGACGCATCTCAAGGACAGCATTCACCCCTCCACACATGAGGTGGTAATCGTCTACCAGTGCGTTGACAGTCACATTGGTGAGGAAATCTTTGACACGGTTCGCAGACAACTTGGTGACCTCCCTGCAGAGAGGGCAGATCATGTGATCGAGATCCTGATGGGACAGGTCATAGTTCCTGAGACATTTCCGACAGAAGGTGTGTCCGCATGAAGTCAGGATTGTTGCCTTCTCGAAGATATCAAGACATAGCGGACACGTCAGGTTCTGTGAAGAGCTCAGAGCTTTATCTTTTTCAGTCTTCTAAGCCATTGGTTCAAATATCAGCTTTCTGGCAAATGTTCAACAGTCAGTTCATGCAAGCTCAAACAATATTCATTGACGTGGTAGGTTGTAACAATATCCTGACTGAGTCCAAGTTTTCACGTTGAATAATAATATGCGTCGAAAGAGGTGCGCCTATCAAAAGTAATAATTCTCTATCCAAGTGTGTATATCAATAATGTTATAATGGTAAAATCACACTTGAGTAGATCGTCTGTTCATAACATGTAGTTTGTGCATCCTATGAATAGAAATGGGTTTTCCCACAGATAGCGCGCAGGATATAAGCACCTTTGAACTTAATGGCGGTATATACGTATTCATCATTTTTGTCTATAGAGGGCGACTTATTTAAGCTTTCAGTGGTGAATATAATTATTATGCTGGAGATCCACTTTAGTAGAATTCTGGATAATAAAGCCAGACGTTTGATTTGCTTTCATTACTAGCTTTCTTTGTCAACCTGTTTTATTCTTGTGATTGAATTGCTTCGAGGCTATGACTTTCCTTATGTACAATTTGCCTGAAAAAATATTTCACCGTTCCTCTCTTTTTAAAAATCTCATGATTTAGATATATTATAACCATGATAATGTGAATCATTTCTGTCTCAAGAAGTGATAACGTGAAAAATCATATCAAATTGAACATGTAACTATCATAGCGATACTACACATGGAATATGATTTATTTGAAATAATCATGCTTGGACCCTACCACATGGATCAATGAAATAAAGAAATGATTTTCTCTCACCACAATTCTGTCTGATATAAGCTTCTATCTTTCTCTATTTATTCCTCTCTCTCTCTCTCTCTCTCTCTCTCGCTCTCTCTCTCTCTCTCTCTCTCACACACACACACACGCACACACACTCACAAACGCAGACACTTTCTTCTCTCTTTCTCCCCCCCCCCCCTCTCTCTCTCTCTCTCTCTGGATCTTTCTTTCTCTCTCTCTCTCTCTCCCCTATAAACAGCTGAATATTACCAAAGTCTGTGATAATTTATGTGCAATAATCTCTCAAAGTGTTTCTTTTATCACCTCTTTAACAATGAACATGTACCTGATTTTGTTACTTGTACTTATGAATACCTTGTCAACTATTTATGATAATAGTGATCGGGTAGACTACCCTGTCTTGCCTTGACGCAACTTTACAAACTATTACATTAAACAATTGTACTCATTGTATAAACTGAATTTGAACTTAATGTCGACCACGTAAACTCAGTCTGTTGTTTGAAAGTAGTAACAGAAATACTTGTTAATGTTAATATAGATGCAATGGTCGACTATATTATGTAAAGGAGCGTACCCAACACAACTAGAGCCTGTATAGAGCTCGGCACATTTCATTCATATCAATTTTAAATATGTCGTACGCTGTGAGAAAAGTGTATATATTCAGTGACTGTGATTTCAACCTTGGGTTTTTTTGCTATCAACGCAATACCCAACGCTATTTGCTCAGCTATTTATTCACAAGCAGTGGCGAAGCTACGAATGGATCGAATGGAACCAACATCAACAAAAAGAAGAGCGAGGGGAAAGATGAAGGGGAATTTAAAAAATAACTTGCGTTAATTAACTTCAGGAGATACTTTTTGGTTGAAGATGTTCTGCGAATATTGTACAACAGTATTATGTAAACGCAACTCTTACAACAGACGATGATAAAGAGAAAAATCACGAGTTGATTTCAGTGACGTAAGCAGCAAACGTTTCAACAATCTGATTTCTTGTAAACAGGCTCTCACTAACAGGTGCTGTCTTTAGGGAGTAGGGGTACACTAAAAAGAGACATTAAGGACTTTTAGATTTGCACGACGAGGACGTGGACTGCGACATGTGACATCATGTTAAGGCAATGTGACGTCCTGTTAAGGCACTGTCGTCACATTGCCTTAACAGGATGTCACACGAGCAGTCCACTTTCTCATCGTGCAAATATAAAAGTCCCTAATGATTAGTCTTTCATGTTCAGTGACGTAAGCAGCAAACGTTTCTACAACCTCACCAACAGATGCTGTCTTTAAGGTGGAGGTGGTATACCAAAAAGAGACATTGATTAGTCTTCCGTGTTCAAAAGAAATTTGACGTATACAAAGGAAATTCGTTTAAGAGAGTTCAATTTTAAATAATTATACTACCTGTTTGAAACAATCTTTACGATTGGAGATTAGCAAAACGACAGATACTGCCCCGAAGTACCACGTAAAAGAGGACATTGTCCATGTGTTTTTTGAATGTGAACGGAACAAAAGGTCCTTGATTATGTCGAACAGGTTGTGATGTTTGGTTTTAATATTTCTTCTTTACCTAAGATTACTCATGACAGAGAAGTGGACTTTGTAATAACTATCACATCCTGGTGTATGTACAAAATGTTAGTCTTCCTGAATAAGTATGACTTTAATGAAAAGCGTTTCTAAGTAAGGTACGTATTTAAAAGAGAAAGAACACACATACTACTCGTAAATCAGGAGCTTAGAACAGACAAAAGGTTGCCAGAAAAATTGTTAAAAACACATTAGATGGTAAGTAGCAAAATATCGTACAGGCGAGAAAATATATGTTTAGTATTGATAACATAGTATTACAATTACATTGCTTCTCATAACTTTATTTTGATGCTCGAATGGAAATTAGACCTCTCAACTGAGGCACACACACACATAATCATTCTCTTTCCAAGTGTGTACTTGAATACCAATGTTGTTACAATAGTAAAATCACAAGACGATTTATAGGCTTTCATTACTATATTTGGAAGAGTAAAGGACGGTACCTACATTTGTTTTTCACCCTCTTTCTCCATTATTATTCCGTTATCACCTTCTATTTCTCTCTATCTCTTCCCTTTCTCTGTGAACAATTAAATGACTTTCCCAGTGTCAATCAACAATACCGTGTGCATACAATAAAATAATGTACATCTAATTATAGGCTAGGTTTACAGCGCATATATATTTTGTATAACTATAGTGAATTTTCTCATTAAAAGAAAGAGAAACAACAAATGAAGATACAAAATACGAACTTTAAGACATTACAAAACAGTGTAGCAAAAGAGTATAGAGACTATGTGTGTGCACGGAAAAATGGTCACGCCATTTTACCCATAAGAATTGACTTTCTTTCTTCACCAAAAATATAAAGTAAAAAGTTACTGCATTTCCATCGAAATGCAGTTATCAGAACCCCCCCCCCCCCCCCCTTTGAAAAAAACTGATACAATTGTTAAGAACAATTGAAAGAAAATTGTCCCCAAGCTAGGTCGCTTATGTACACAATGAACTTCTTCGATGTTATCTTCTTACAAACATATCAACTGGTATGTCATTTTTGTAAACGATGGGGAAACATTGAAATGATGTTTACTCCCGATTCATCCCTGGGTTTGTCATGTATGTCTACTCGCATGACCACATTTAGGTCTAATATCCTCAACATTTCTACAATTTATCATAACTTATGATAAACATAATCCTATTTTACCCCATTCTCTTTCTATCCTTGGTTATCAAATGCAGATGAAGATACTCCAAATTCCACGTCACAAATCGATAGTCTGTATTGATTTGATTTAATTGAATCAAATTGAACTTGACTGAATTAAATTGAATTGAAATGAAATGGTAATTATTATGAAAATAAAACTGCCAAATTGGCATGAATATATTCAAAGTGAAATTACTAATTATAACGGAACTGCAGTAAAAGTTAATATAATGTATCATAATATATTATACATAAGTTAATATAATGTATCATAATATATTTTACATAAGTTAATATAATGTATCATAATATATTTTACATAAGTTAATAGAATGCTTTATAGTCAAGAAACCCTACTTCCGACTGTTAAATGAGGCCTAATTTGTTAATACATCGTTCTTCTCTACTTCATAGCAAACTAGTCTGTCATATTATAAGTCTCGGAGCATTACATTTAATAGCTTTTCAGACAGGGTGCAAAGTGAATATGAAGGAATTTTTCATGGAATATAGCACAATATTTTTTCATTTAAAGAAACAAAATGTTCACAATATAAAACACAAAATATAGGCACAAACAAAATAATTGTTGTATTACTTTGAGAATAACAACATAAGGAAAATAACACTCACAGGAACCTTATCAATGTGCTTATTAATTTTGAATTCATACATTATGATATTATCACTGAATTTCCGTAAATATCTAAGAGATACGATTACACAATGCAAGAAGTAGATGTACATTGTACGTACTGCATTTACATATTATTTCGGAAGTTATCATTCTTCAGAATAATGATAACTGTATTCGGGCAATTAAAATCTATCTAGAGAATGAGCATCTTCCTATTTGGTTATTTATCACATAATGAACATCAAAAGATAGCAACATAGGCCAATTTGAGAGTAGGTCTGGAGCAGAGAGGTATAAACAATACAAATAAGGGTGAACAGAGTGTGAAATACAGATGATTACAGTGATACTTTGATAAAATACAACTTCCTGTCACAAGCCAACGCGAGCATGTCTGGAGAGAGGGAAACCAAATTACACCAAGTATTACC